TCTTGTACGTCCACCAAATTCATATTTTGTACAAAATCACAAGTACTATCCTCTTCAATCTCTCCCCATTGCAAAATTTCCAAAATGGCTTCTCGTATATCGAGTAAGCTAATATCATTAATGGGTGAAGCATCAATAACAATGGGCTCATGTGCAAAATCGATATCAAAATCACAAGTACAATCCTCTTCAATCTTTCCCCATTGCAAAATTTCCAAAAGGGTTTCTCGTATATCGAGTAATTTCATATCATGTACATTTTCAAAATACTCATCTTGTACATTATCAATCTGCATATATTGTACATTATCAAAAACTATATCTTGTACCTTGTCCTCTGTCTCTTGTAATTTAACAAAATTCATATCATAATCAAAAGTCAACTGTTGTGTGTTAACCAACTGTATAGTCTGAGTCCAACATTTATAATCCACCCACTGAATCTCGTGAATCTGTGCCCTGTGCATGACCTCTTTAACGTCCCTACACTCGGTTATAATAGCATGACATTGTTTCGGATAACTGATCTCCTCCACCAACTCTGTAATATTGTCCGTTACCTCATTTTCCCCTGCTAACAAAAGAACTGTATTCTCCTCCACATCATTTACTCGCCCCCCAGTTTCTTTAACACTTTCCGCAGTTTCTAATTTATGCAACTGAACAATCCCCGTCTTATCTGCCCTTATGTCTTCAAAATAGTCGTCACTTATGCCTAACTGGAAAAATTCCGGCTTATATGCATCTGTGTCTACAAAGTAATCGTCTCCTATCCCTAACTGCAAAAAATCTGACTTATATGGACTTGTATCTTCAAAATAATCGTCACCTATCCCTAACTGAAAAAATTCCCATTCATCATTTCCCCTATTGTCGGCCCCTGTTTCAGTTTCATTTTTATTATTTGCCAGCTTTACCCATGACTTGCTTTCTCTACACCATTTAAGTTCATTACCTCCCTCATTTACTAATGGCGTCCCTGATTCGACTTCATCCTCATCTATATTATCCCAAGTTTTCTTCTTATAGTTCCACCTAAATTGATTTTTTCCTGTTTCCCATTGTGGCATGTAATCACTATCTTCTCGTTCTACTGTATCCCCTTCTAGATTTTCCCAACACTTCTTCCTATAATTCCAAGTAAATTGATGTTTTTCAGTTTCCCCTTCTGCCAAGTAATAAACACTATTTCTATCGTATGGATTAATGCAATTTATACTCACTATCCCGTCTACTCTACCCTCTACTCTACTATTAACCCACCCTTCTTCTGATTCGTCCTCTGACCAATCATTAATTACACCGTCAAATTCCTCCTCCTCGTACTCACTATAATCATTATCATTGTCATAACAATCCCTGTAACAATACTCATTGTCATAACCATCCCTGTAACAATACTCATTGTCATAACCATCCCTGTAACAATACTCATTGTCATAACCATCCCTGTAACAATACTCATTGTCATAACCATCCCTGTGTGCTATTTTTTCCTTTTCATATTTTTCTCTCATTTCTGCTATTATATCATTTGTTTCTTTTTCTTTTTTCTCTTTATAATCTTGTAATTCTCTATCTAATCTGTCTTTACGAGCTTTGTATTCTATATCTAATTTGTCTTTGTATTCTATATCTAATTTTTCTTCCTGAGCTTGCCATTCTCTTTCCTCCATTTCTAATCTTTCTAATTTTTCCATGGCATATTTCATAATTTCTTCCCCCTCTAATCTTAACTTAATCGCCTCCTGACAAAGTTCTTCTATGGTCTTCATTTCACCGGTTTACAATATATAGTCTACTTCTATTCTGGTACAACCCCACTTTCAATAAGTACCATGTCAAAAAAAATGTCACTTAAATTTCTGGTTACAAAATTATCATCATAAGACCACATAACATTTCTAATAAAGTTAATTACCCGGTCTTGTCTGTACATGACTTGCTCCGGACAGCAAAAACGTAGTGGTGGTGTCCAGTACAGCGGCACAGTAGTGGTGGTGGTGTCCAGTACAGTGGCACAGGTAATTCTCTCAGGTAAAGGAAACTACCGTGTACAGGAAACTTGGGTGCAGGACCAGCGGTACACGAACAGTTCTAGGCAACAGCAGGAACAGGAACAGGTACAGGATCAGCGGCAGCGGGTACAGGAAACGTCCGGTACACAGGTGGTACAGCACAGGATCAGCGGCAGCGGGTACAGGAAACGTCCGGTACACAGGAACACAGACTCAGGTGGTACAGCACAGGATCAGCTGCAGCGGGTACAGGAAACGTCCGGTACACAGGAACAGAATAGTCGAGAGGTCCCGATTCCGCTCCAACTACGGGCCCCCATGTCAAATATTCTAGTTGATGAATATTTGGCTCGTTGTTAGATTTATGATTCTCGCTTTTGTTTACATGTCTTGTAAATCTTGTCACACAACAGACTCGTTTGATTCATCAAAACAATACGCTTCAAGGTACAAAAGACATTTATTTGCTGATCGCATTACTAGATTAATGCGTCTCGTAGTTTAGTGAACATGAATCCACGTATATGGCAATATTCCAATCAGCAAAACATATCATGACAAAATCCACTATCTCCCAAAAGAAAGACGTCCCGCTGTAGCGAGTCCTATCTCTCGTCTAACTCTGTGAACGTAATCCCCCGTGACATAATACTTCTTCTCCTCCCACTCTCCCGTCTGTGAACCCTTTATACCCCAAATCTCATGCCTCGTTCACTCCACTATCATTCGCCCGTGACATGAAATTAGTTCACAATCCGCATTCGTCCTCAAATCAACACACACACTATACCCCAAATCTCATGCCTCGTTCACTCCACTATCATTCGCCCGTGACATGAAATTAGTTCACAATCCGCATTCGTCCTCAAATCAACACACACACGCTACCTCATGATTTCATGACCTTGACAATAACCTATAAATTAGAAATACATAACCTATAAATTAGAAATACATAACCTATAAATTAGATAGATTATTTTTATATGGAAGAAAAACAAAGCAATGAGATGTCAGCATATTTTAATTTTAAAAAAGGTCATGACCTCTCATTCTGTGTCATGTTGTTGATAGGAATGCCACAAGCCACCCGTGACTGAGGAAGATGTGAGCGATCCGAGGTTTGTCTGGTACTGTTCACGCTGTACCAAGAGTTTAAAGAAAATGGTAAGCCATTTAAAACGGGCATATGAAATATTTAATATTTATCTGTATATTCGTGTACAAGTCTGTGCAGAAAAGAATTATGATTTCTTGAATACAGAGGACCATTCAAAATAGCAAATTAACTTTACTCGAAATTCTTTTGCCGCAAAATAAATTATTACATATTACAGATGACTAAAGAATAACAAAATGTTTCAACATTCTTGTTTACTGAGCCAAGATGTAATTTAAGCCAAGATGTCATTTAAGTCAAACTTTTATGTCATTGTACTTATGATCATTACTACAGGTGACACAGAAACCGTTGAAGCCCAAACCAAGCACAAGCTCTAGCTCGTCCAGTGCACCAAGAGAACAGAGCGGGTCTACAACGAAATCCAGCAAGTCAGAGTCCAGCAATAACAGCCAGGCTTTCAGGAGAATAGACCCCAAGGTTGGCTATGTCAAGTTAAACACAATTACGCACCAATGTTCTGCTCTCTGTTGTTACGTTTTTTTTAAAATTTACTTGTGTAATGATCATTGTGTTGTTTTTATCTCCCCAGACGATCGTCACGCCCAAAGAGACCAGCTCCATTAACAGCTCCTCATCTAAACCCATGGTAGGGCTCGAAGGCCTAGCAGCTAACTTGGCCAAGCCTCGTGGAGAGTCAAAGAGCGGATCATCTCGCAAGTCCGACCATAAAGGGGATGGCTCCAAATCGTCAAGTAAAGAGGGTAAACCAAGTGGTGGGAACAAATCTGACAGCTCCTCCAAGTCCTCCACGTCCTCTTCCAGCAAAGCTGAGGACAAAAAGTCTGAGGGTAAATCTTCCTCTAGCAAGGAAGAAAAAGACAAGAAGTCCAGCAGCAAAGGTGACGACAGGAGAGCCAGTGAAACCAAACCTTCATCTTCCTCAGCACCAGCTTCAGCATTAGCCAGTAAAGAAGAGAAAAAATCAGATTCGTCATCAAAGATGGATGTGAAATCAGAATCTTCCTCGAAATTGGATCCAAAAATGGATTCATCATTAAAGATGGATATGAAAACTGATTCATCCTCAAAGATGGATCATAAATCAGAATCTGGGAAAGCCCATGCCTATCCAAGCCTGCCCAAGCTGGACATCTCTCAAGCAAGGAGTTCACCTCCAAGATCATCGTCCAGCACCACCCCCACCACCCCAGAGTCACCATCGTCCTCCAAAGGCAGCAGCAACGCCATCAACAAACAGGCCATAGCCAACCTGTCCATGGTGACCGCCAATAAAAGAATGCAGATGATGAAGAAGAAAGCACAGACCAAGCCAGAGAAGAAGATCCACATCAAATAGGGCCCTAGGCATTGGTGTCCATGGTGACGGCCAATAAAAGAATGCAGATGCTGAAGAAGAAAGCACAGACCAAGCCAGAGAAGAAGATCCACATCAAATAGTTGTCCAGCATCAATTTTTGTCAATGTCATGACAGTTGTGGAAGTCATGCAAAGGTCAAATGGCGTCTCATTTTTTAAAAAAACATACCCTGTTTTTTTGCAAGCAAGTCGGATGTTGCTGAGATCAATCTGTTGCTTTCATCAACAAGTCGGATGTTGCTGAGATCAATCTGTTGCTTTCATCAACAAGTTGGATGTTGCTGAGATCAATCTGTTGCTTTCATCAACAAGTCGGATGTTGCTGAGATCAATCTGTTGCTTTCATCAACTATAGAAAAAAAATGGATCTTTTAAAAACTTCTTAATTTGACTGACCACCATAAAATGAGCGAGAGAGAGTAGCATCAATCAATCCTATAAATAGACTTATTCGGAAATGACTACTTCTCAAAAGTGAATAGTTGCTACAATTCACAGCAATGGCCTATTTATTATTTGGGGAGAGGATCAGCTCCTGGGCAGGAAAAAAAAAGTATTTTCAGTATCTGGTCTAAAATGAAAACATAAAAATTAAAAATTGAACAAGCAAATGCTGAGACAGATTGTAATAAGGTGCTCATGATAGCCTTGTAATAAGGTGCTCATGGTAGCCTTGTAATAAGGTGCTCATGGTAGCCTTGTAATAAGGTGCTTATGTTAGCCTTGTAATAAGGTGCTTATGTTAGCCTTATTCTTTCAATTCAAGTTTGTCATAAATTTGATTATGTACAGCCAACACATTTGTTGAATTTCAGACAAAATGAAAAATTGATTGCTTATTATTAAATGACTTTTAGATGTTGGCCAAATTCCAATAGATCAAACTTCCAGTGTTTTCATATTGATTGTTCAAATGTTGAAACTGTGAACAGAAGGATGAAGAGTAGCCTTATCAAGTTAGATTGTGTCCCTTGTTATCATTGTTGTTCTAAATGACGCATGCGACTAGGGTGGGCGCACTCATGGGCTGCATCAAAAATCATCTTGAAAAACTTGACATTATGAATAATCTTATTTTACGTAGAGTTGGACATTTCGCTCCTAATTATAATAATTGTTTAAACATCCAGTTTCTATAAATGGTCCTGTAGGCTGAAATAAAAATTTTGGAAGCGCTGGTATTGAACACACTGGAGGATGAAGGGGGGGGGGGGGGGAAACCCCCACAATGCCTGTAGTGTAGGGGGATTTCGTTGTGATAGGAAAGAGAGAAGATTGCAAGAAACCGGAAGGTATACAGCGCTAATGTTAATGGTCTGCCCTCCACTAGGAGTTGAAAAGTCAAAGGAGGAGGAGGAAAGGTTCCTCTCTGAAACCTTTGTAACAAAATCCCATGGCATTGTATAATGATGGGATGGCAGTGTATAAGGATGGGATGGCATTTTATAAGGATGGCATGGCATTGTATAAGGATGGGATGGCATTGTTTTAAGGATGGAGTGGCATTGTATAATGATGTGATGGCAGTGTATAAGGTGGGATGACATTGTATAAGGATGGCATGGCATTGTATAAGGATGGGATGGCATTGTATAAGGATGGCATGGCATTGTATAAGGATGGGGTGGCATTGTATAAGGATGGGATGGCAGTGTATAAGGATGCGATGGCAGTGTATAAGGATGGGATGACATTGTATATGGATGGCATGGCATTGTATAAGGATGGGATGGCATTGTATAAGGATGGGATGGCATTGTTTAAGGATGGGATGGCATTGTATAATGATGGGATGGCATTGTATAAGGATGGGATGGCAGTGTATAAGGATGGGATGGCATTGTATAAGGATGGGATGGCAGTGTATAAGGATGGGATGGCATTGTATAAGGATGGGATGGCAGTGTATAAGGATGGGATGGCATTGTATAAGGATGGGATGGCAGTGTATAATGATGAGATGGCATTGTATAAGAAGGATGGGATGGCATTGTATAAGGATGGCATGGTATTGTATAAGGATGGCATGGCATTGTATAAGGATGGGATGGCATTGTATAAGGATGGGTTGGGGATTACTTGTCATGTGACCAGTTTATGCCAGAAATATTTTCAGTTTTTTTGTAATATAAATAGTAGGGAGATGGCCTACAATAGCATGGGAAATAATCCAATGGGGCAATAGCAGGTTTTAACACCAGCAGTATTTGATCTACTACGGCACCGGTACCACAAAAGCATTACCAACTAATGAGAGAACAAACCGGGTGAAAGCCAGAATAGGTTTAGATCATGAACACACCGGTATTTGATAGCTAAAAACTGAAGAGACTTTTCTTCTTCCCCCAGCTCCTCACACGCCAAAAGTCTAGTATGATTTGCCACATGGGTTTATTTAAAATGTGAATAGAACCGTTGTGAGGCATGTGCAAACGAGGCGACCGACTAGGGCCCCACTGCCTACAACTTTCAAGTCCATATGTTTCAGAAGTCCACATTTTCTCTAGTGGCTGAATTATCAATATGGTTAGTGGTTACACGCGAGCAAAGAGGAAACAGTGGGTGGGTGATGTTTGCTCCATAGCTCGCCCAGCCCCCCCTTTTCCGGGGCTCCCTACCTACGCTCCATGCCTAGGGCCCCCAAAATCCTAAGAACGGCTCTGATGTGAAGCTCCATGTTTTTCTTACACCACGTCATAAATCTTCCCATTCATCCAACAAATTTAAATTGGTCTGACGGTGTTTGTTTTTTTTTAAGTCGATTTCTTGGCACCCACTTAGTGGCGTCAGAGTTTATGATGAAGCTGTATATCTTATTTCCTTAGTATAGTAGTGGCCCTTGTTATGAAGCGTTTATTTCCCCTGCCCAACTGATAAGTCCCGCATAGCCTATAAACAACAGTGGGCCGTGCTGTGCTGCCCCCCCCCCCCCCCCAAACAAAACTGTGCATACACAGCTTTTATTTGCAACAAGAATTAATTGCTAGTCATGTCCCACAATGTATGGCTAGCAACGTGACTCCATGGTGTATGTCTATGACAGTATGAAAACAAGAAAGACCGATGTGGGCACTTTTCTAACATCTAAGACCCCGTTGGCGTCTTCACTCTTTGAGTCCGGTTGTATTTTTGTGATGCCAATGTCAGGTGAGTGGGACACAGCACGATGTTCTATTGGTGTCTTCACCCTTAGAGTCCAGTTGTATGTTTGTGATGCCAATGTCAGGTGAGTGGGACACAGCACGATGTTCTATTGGTGTCTTCACCCTTAGAGTCCAGTTGTATGTTTGTGATGCCAATGTCAGGTGAGTGGGACACAGCACGATGCTCTATGGACGCTGATTAAGTCAACCTTCTAAATAAGTCACAATCGTAGACATAAGCTCTAGTGGATATGGCATTGGCCTACGTCATGATATGGCATTGGCCTCCGTCATGATATGGCATTGGCCTCCGTCATGATATGATATTGGCCTACGTCATGATATGGCATTGGCCTCCGTCATGATATGATATTGGCCTACGTCATGATATGGCAATGGCTTACGTCATGGTATGGCAATGGCCTCCGTCATGATATGATATTGGCCTACGTCATGATATGAGCTTCTGAAAATAGCAACATTGAGAAAATGATGACTCATATTTAAAAATAAACCCCGCTTTCGGGTTGTTCTTAATGAAGAGTGTGGATATTTACAATTTAAAAATTCGAAAGTTTGACTTCAAATCTAAGTGTTGAATGAAAAGAAAAAAGAATTATATTGAGTCTAAGACTACTTTTTTTTGTCGCCTTAAACCCGTGCGTAGAGGAAAGCTTTCTTGACACACACACAGTTGACACCTACACATAGTCATTTTTTTCCCCACGGTTTTTTCAGTTTTTAAAATATAAACAATGCATGACCCTTATGAGCGAGTGACCCTTGTCTATCCGTGGGTCTTTTGTGTTACACGAGACCTTATTGGTATACGAGACCTTATACGGAACATGCGTTTTATACGGGACCTTTGTGTTATTTGGGAGTCATGCGGGACCTTAAGTACCAACACAACACTTAGTGTACACACGAGATATTATGGTGTCACACGAGACCTTGGTGTTCAACCGGACACATTAGTGAGCACACGAGACATCTCAGGTTGACACGGGACAATGATTCTCTACACATCTTCAGCGCTCCAGTTTAGTACAATGATGAGGTATTCATTATGCTAACACTAACTGCTAAATGGTTGATATTTAGCTCGACTCATACAATTATTAATATACTCAACAAAATAGGTAGCATGGCGTATATTGACCTTTGGCACGGACTCGACTAAATGAAACGACTACGACAGCTGGTTAGAGAATAGTGGCCTGTGTTGTAAACACACAGTTTATAAGTGCCAATTTTCGATTATTTCAGCGTGGATCACATTTGTAATCTTAAGTAGATTGAACTTTGAATGGTTTCGAATGTAACAGACATCGAAATGTGATTGTTAGTACACCAGCCTTTGAAAAGTGATTGTTAGTACACCAGCCATTGAAAAGTGATTTTTTTAGCACAGAAGCCATTGAAACGTGATTTATTAGTACAGCAACCGTTGAAAAGAGGTTGTTATTACAATAGCCATTGAAATGTGATTGTAAGTGCAGCAGCCATTGAAATGTGATTGTAAGTGCAGCAGCCATTGAAATGTGATTGTAAGTATAAGTAGAATAAATCAGTAGAAGAAAATGAAAAACGGGTTGTCTCATCTCAAATTAAATACAAATATTGCTGAGAGCATGTGTTCTGGTAAGACCTCCCTGTTATTTGAACACATTCGTTACCATGGTAACGATGGTACCGGGTACGAAACAAACTTATTCATTTGATTATTTTTATTCTATTTCAACATTTGATTTTGTTCAGTCGTGACTAAAATTAGGAAGGCTATGTGAAATTAGGGAGGCGTTGTGAAATTAGGGAGACTATGTGAAATTAGAAAGGCTTTGTGAAATTAGGAAGGCTATGTGAAAATAGGGAGGCTATGTGAAATTAGGAATGCTATGTAAAATTAGGAAGGCTTTGTGAAATTAGGAAGGCTATGTGAAAATAGGGAGGCTATGTGAAATTAGGAATGCTATGTGAAATTAGGAAGGCTATGTGAAATTAGGAGGCCTATGTGAAATTAAGAAGGCTATGTGAAATTAGGAAGGCTATGTGAAATTAGTGAGGCTATGTGAAATTAGTGAGGCTATGTGAAATTAGGGAAGCTATGTGAAATTAGGGAGACGATGTGAAATTAGTGAGGCGATGTGAAATTAGGGAAGCTATGTGAAATTAGGGAGACTATGTGAAATTAGGGAAGCTATGTGAAATTAGGGAGGCTATGTGAAATTAGTGAGGCTATGTGAAATTAAGAAGGCTATGTGAATTAGGGAGGCTATGTGAAATTAGGGAGGCTATATAAAAATTAGGGAGGCTATGTGAAATTAGGGAGGATATATAAAAATTAGGGAGGCTATGTGAAATTAGGGAGGCTATATAAAAATTAGGAAGGCTATGTGAAATTAGGGAGGCTATATAAAAATTAGGGAAGCTATGTGAAATTAAGGAGGCTATATAAAAATAAGGGAGGCTATGTGTACTTAGGGAGGCTATATAAAAATTAGGAAGGCTATGTGAAATTAGTGAGGCTATATAAAAATTAGGGAGGCTATATAAAAATTAAGGAGGCTATGTGAAATTAGGGAGGCTATCTAAAAATTAGAGAGGCTATGTGAAATTAGGGAGGCTATATAAAAATTAGGAAGGCTATGTGAAATTAGTGAAGCTATATCAAAATTAGGGAGGCTATGTGAAATTAGTGAGGCTATATAAAAATTAGGAAGGCTATGTGAAATTAGTGAGGCTATATAAAAATTAGGAAGGCTATGTGAAATTAGTGAGGCTATATAAAAATTAGGAAGGCTATATGAAATTAG